TGCAGAATCAGAACAACCGGTAACTTGGTGAAAATTTTTCCCCTTTAAGAACTGATGTATAAAGTAAACATACAGGACAGTTCAAAATATAGCTTGTACCATTTCAGAATGGTTATACAAATGTTTTGGAAAGAATAAGGAAAGCAATAAAAGGAGAAGACCACACATAAACTCACATGTACATGAACACTGTGACATTCCATGTTAGACCTATACATTTGTAAAATCCAAACCACAGCTGAGCTATATGCCAAAGATAATTAAAATATTGCACTGATAATGCTAATTAGTTGGGTAATAAAACATCTGCAAGCAAACAACTAAGCTTAGAGAGCACCAATGACTTCCTAATTAATCTTTTCCCCTTGAGGCTGGATAATTCTCACCTCTGTATTTATATAGACCAGGGCATAATAAAATCCTAATCCTGATCTGGCTTGTGGATCACTAACAATAAAATTGTACAAAATAAATTCTATTTTATGGCATTTATCCAAGATCAGCAAAGTTAATGTTTCTGTTGGTTCCTGGGGAATTGACTTCTTATTCTTAATGGTGCTTAAAAAAAGAAAGAAAAATGCCAAAGAATGAAAAAAACAGAAACAGAGATTAAATGGAAAGTTGTTTAAAAAACGAAAGTCCTTTTATGGTTCTGTTCAGTCAGTCCCCAGATAATATGCCAGGTTCTTCAGTACAATTTGGTTTCAAGGTACTATCTTAAACTTTGGGACTATCAAAGTGCTTTGCATAATCGTGATTCCACCACATGTGATAAAGCAGATTTTCCAAACCTGGGCACTTCTCAGTGTGTAGATTTCAACTAAAATTCAGAATTCTCAGTAACGGATGTGAGTTGAAGTCACATATTGAGAGAATACTCAGGTTGGTGTGGTGAACTGTGTGCTTAGCTTTCCTCATCTTAGTGCCTGCCCAACAGTTCCTAGAATTCTAAGTCAATAAAATCACTATAGATAACTTGTGATCCTTGATCATTCATACTGAATTCTTCATTAGCACTCCTGCATCCAAACTAGAAATGATATTATTTGTGAGTCTGCAATATCAATACAGCTGACCAGCATTGATGTAACAGTGAGATAGGCAGTATCTAAATTTAATAAATAAATAAGAAAGTCACATCCCCGCCAACACTGCAAGGGCAAGCTTCAGTATATAAACAAGAAGCAAATCCCATACTCACTCATACTGATGATATTACCTAGTTGGGTAGTGAAATGTCTGCAAGCAAACAATTAAACTCTAAAAGCACCAAAGATTCCACAATTCAACCCTGAGTTACAGATATTCTATTCTAATTGGCATCTTGTTTATTAGACAAACATCAGTCAGATTGCAGACCAAATGGATGGGCAGGAGGAGTTCAACTCTTTCTCTTCATCTTCTATTAACAAAAAACTTTTCCAAATTTATCATTTGCATTTTAATATGTGACTTATGCTTTTTACTGGAGTCTCCCATTTCTGATAAACAAATTAGTTATTTTCTACTTTATGAGTACACTTAAACCAGCCCTCCCCAAACAAATGCTCTTTAGAAGGGTTGGACAGGTTACCATAAAATTGACCCAGTATAGCTAATATAACTGAGAATTATGGGAGTTTCAGTTTGGTACATATGAAGAACATACACTGAATGAAAAGGATCTGAACTTTGAGAAAAAGAGAATGTAGAAAGTTAGGCATAGAAGGGACAGGCAGACTGCTACCCGAATTTTTTTGTTGCCATTAGTGCTTTTCTTGTTCTGCTTCTGCATGGCATTAACATGGAGATGCCATTCTCGTGTAGTGGTTTAAGTGCTGGACTAGAATCCTTTTCATGCTGAAGTTGGGTGGTGACTTTGCTTCAGACACTCTCTTGACCCAATTCAACTCACAGGGTTGCTGTTGTGTGGAAAATAGAAAGAGAGAGCATTATGTACATTGTTGTGAGTTATTAAAAATAAAATGGGGATATAAGTCTAATCAATAAATAAACTGAGTTATGAGTGTGCCCCTTACTATGGGTAAGATGATTGGAGAGTTTTTTTCTGGTTTTGTTGCTATCTTCTTTCAGCATGTTATCAGCCTGTCTGTGTGTGCGGGGGGGGGGGGGAACTTTCATGAATTGCAGCAGGACTGGGGCAGGTCTTATTTCAGGACTCTGTCTAAGTTCTCTGGATGGGTGTAATTGTGTGTATGTGTGTGTGTGGTCTTGGGGTACAGGAAGAAGAATCAAAACTCAGACAATAGTATAATAAATGAAATGTGAGTCTGAAAGAGGGGTGGGGGTGGGAAAAGCTCTTAGAAGAAACGCTCCCTAGTTTTGAGAAGAGTAAAAGTAAGGGAAGGGAGAGATACTTTTAGGCTTGCAAGGTTTTGCAACAATAAAGCTCTTGTGTTGGTGCTTCTGGTCTGAATTACCTCAAAGAGCTGACAGTGGGTTTCTCCATTTCTCCTTCAATATCCCAGCTGGGTGCCTCTCAAGTTAAAATAAAATGAAATAAAGACATGGGTAAAAAGATGCCAGAGCAGAAATAGTCCCAGGGAAGAGGGAGGAATATAGGTCCTTTACATTCCTGACCAAGGCAGGAAAATTTAGGACTAAAGCATTCCTGATAGATAATTGTCTAGCTTCTACTAGTACAGGGGAAACCAAACTTTCAGCTTTATGGAGCTGTTAAAATTCAAAACAATGGCGGGCAGTAGAATGTTCTTTGTTTATTTTACTCAGTTATTTGATTTACAGCCTGCCTTTCTACTCTGGCAAGTTCTCAAGACAGCTGGCAAACATTAAATCCAAATCTTACATTTAATTAGAAATAAGAATTGGCTTATTTTGACTCAGCTCACTGGCCCATTATTCAGCACTTTCTACCCAAGTTTCAAAATGTTCTGATAAAATAAGAATTCTCTGAACACTGTAACACTACTTCCTCTAAGTGGAAACTAGAATTTTTTTTTTCTTACTATATTTAAATATTATTTTTACAGCAAAGGCCTCAAACACAGCTTTCAAAGAAATAAAATCCAAATGATAATATATCTTAAGTCAAGTCACAATAAACACTTACAAGGCTTAAGAAGCAATAGTGCAAAAAACAATGACATGCCAAAGAAACATAAAATTGCTTCAAGTCAAAAATCTGACAAAACAGTCACTCAATTATTATATTGTAGAATGCAAAATGAGGAAAAGTTTGATGCTTACAATCAGCGACATTTGGGTAAAACAAAATCAAGTGGAGGTGTGGATACTCTATTGAACGTTGCATCAATATGTGTGCCAGGGTGATGCTTGTTGAAAGGGACAGAAATTTGATTGTAGTCATGCCTGTTATCTTGATTTTTTTTAAAACAAAACTTCTCATGGATGCCTATGCTTACACTAGGTTTGGCAAATATAAGAATGCAATGAATGTGATTCTTGGGCCAGTCAAGATTTTGCCCCATTCAGGAGAAATTATACTTATAAACAGGCAGCAAACCCCACACTCACTTGTTCTAATGATGTTACCTAGCTGGGTAATGAAATCTCTGCAAGCAAACAACAAGCTCAGAGATCATAGAACTGCACAGTTCAACCATGAGTACAGATATTCTGATAGTATACATATAAATTCATATTTATATCTGTCTATCAACTACTACTAAGACACTGTGTAAGGCTGTAAGCAACATACCTCCTCTGGTTTACAGCAATTGAGTAAAACCATACAACCAATTCAAACATCCAGGGTAAATTTCATCAAAATTAAAAAAAGTTTTTTAAAATACAACTAAATATAGAACTATAGAAAATAAAATACAAAATACAAAACAACTACATTTATTTAAAATGTGGACAATCACGCAATATTTATACAGTAGCGCATGTTATGTCACTTCTGTGTTGGAAGTGAAGGATGTTTGAACTTTCTTAGACGGACTGTCCGCTAGTGCTGATGTTGGTGTTCTTGTTGTTTTGAGGCCATTTAAATTCACACGCTTATTTAAATAAATTTCAATCTTTCTTTTCTGCTTGATGCTTTCATTGTCCTGTTATGTCTCAGTATTAATTGAAGAATGATACTTTCTACTCTACAGTATTGTTCTAACAACCCATTGCGGCATCACCATCATCACCATCATCTGCTTAGCAGGGACAGCCAGAACACAAGATAGAATAAAAATAGCTACTTGGCATTAGATCTTAGCTCTCTTGAAATATCAGGAAATGATCATTATTTACCTTTTAATTTTCTTCTAGCGGGGACAAAGAGAGATGGGTGAAAATTATTTTTATTTTATTCTGAAAAAGGGCTTTGATTAATGAGATAACTTGCACTTCCACTGGGGGTGTGTCTGTGTGTGAGCAGACGCTACTATTGCTCCACTTCAGGCATTATTTAAAAACCTCTCATGTTGAAGGAAGGCTGGGAAGATGAACATCTATAAACGCCAAGCACGAGTTCCTTGGTAACTCTTCAGGCTGTAGTTCACGCTCAGAAGAAAAACATTTATTGGTGCTGTCTGGGGCCGGCGCCTGTGGCGGAGCGTGTCTCGCTCGGAGCAGGCAGGCGTTATTCAATAACCCTGGAGATTTAACAGGCCGGACCTTACCGGCGGAGTCAGTCAGGCTTTCCCGCAACAGAGTCCTCTGGCAACGCGTCCGCTAACTCAGCCAAACGATCCCGGCCGGCCACCGGAAACGCCCTCCAGAGATCCCCGGGGCTGCAGCGGCAGAGAGCGAGGGCGGAGTGCCAGGGGCCGTGGGAGGAGCAGGAAGGCGGGCAGCCTTCACATGGCCCGGGGGCAACACAGGAGCGACCCACGCTCTCGCTCCCAGTCGCTGCAGCCTCGGGCGGAGCAAAGCGAGCGGCGTGCTGGAAGCGGCTGCTCGCTCGGCGCGCGGGATTCGTACCTGATTCCGAGACACGAGCGGCTCTTCGCGGAAGCCGCCCGGAGGATCCGGGAAGCGCGACGCCTTGGCTTCGCCCCAGAGGCTTCCGAAAGCCGGCAGTAATATAATCTATCCTGATTGATCCTGGAGGTCAGGCGTGGAAGGAGCTGGCGGCCGCGATGCAACTTCTCCGAGGTTTTCTGGTAGCTCTTGCTCTGCATATGGTGGGCGCGCAGGTAAGATGCACGTCGGAACTGACTAATTAATCGTTCCCGATCTCTAGCGGGATAGATCTGTCCGGATTTTGGGGGGGGGGGTAGGTGCCGTAGCCTGCTATTTCGCGTCCCAGTGTTCCTGCTGGGCGTGCGATGCCCGAATCCGCTACTTTCCCCATGTCGCACGCCTTGGTGTGGTGGTGGGGCTTGCGATTGTGTTGCCTGCTTTTCTCGGAGAGGATGGAGCGAAAAATCCCGGGCGGTCGGCGCTGTCTTTCTTTACTAAAACGAGAAGAACCAACCTGGATCGGGAACGGAGCTCGGAGGCGTTTTGCTCAGGTCTCAGATTTGTAGAAACTACGCTGTCAAGTGTTTCACAGATGAAGAGCGGAACATCAAGGCACCCAATTAAACCCCCCATCGTCATGTGCGTAACTTTAAGTCATCTGACCCGAAAGCCTAGTTGTGTAGGAGGTGGTTAGAAGTACTGGGTAAAAGAGTAAGATCTGCTCAGAAGTTGCAAGGTAGAACTTCAGCGCTAAAGAGCAGAAATGGGGACTTGGATAAAACTTTTGATGTGGTAGAACAGGACATAGAATCTATCAGGCTTGGAGAAATCTAAATCTTCAATTTTGAAAATATTGATACAATAATTTTGATATAGATATGGGCACAACTTGATGGAGAACCAAATTTCAAGTTTAAATTCAGTAGTGTTTTGTTAACATTCTTTAACTGCCCTGGTATCATACTGACGTACAGCATGATATGTCAATATCATATGGATATGTCTTTTCCAACCTTCTCTACAGTTTCTTATGAATGAAATGCAGATTCCAGACCCATACGATAACCAGAGGACCATATTACTGTGCAGAACATGGGATCCTCTTTTTATGTAGATTTTTCAAGCTTTTACAAAAGAGAAATTCAATTATCTCTATTTTTATAGCAATAGCAATAGACTTATATACTGCTTCACAGTGCTTTACAGCCCTCTTTAAGCATTGTACAGAGCCAGCATATTGGCCCCAACAATCTGGCTCCTCAATTTGCTCACATCAGAAGGATGGAAGGCTGAGTCAACCTTGAGCAGATGAGAGTCAACTGCTGAACTGCAGGCAGCTGGGAACCAACAGAAGTAGCCTGCAGTACTGCATTCTAACCACTGTGCCACCCCGGCTCATTTTGCAGTTGATGTTTTGCTATCCCCCCAAGTATTTCTTTCTAACTCATCTGTAAAGTTGTTATATCCACACACAGACAATTAGTTAATGGAGCCGGGGGAGTCCTGTGCAATAAGGTCCCTGAGGTCAAGAACAGCCTGGCTAAAAGCACCACTGGGTAAAGAGGTTTCTGGAATAGAGTGGTGTATGTTTCACAAATGATTTGGAAGAAATGCTCTAAAAAATAAGAGGGTTACATGCAGTGGAGGGTGGGAGGGGGTTATTCATAGCTTTAGTATCTACAACTTGAATTTTTTTTTCAAGTTGAACTAGATTCCTGATACCTACATGGACACATTTGTGTTGTTTTCATGGAAATTAAACAAGTGATTTGTCATTGCTGCTTTTATTTTATTGTTACACAGGATAGTTTACACCCCTGACATTTCTAACTGATCTCTTACCAGATAGTAACCTGGTTTGATCCTACATCAGGCATAGTACAACAAGAAAAGGGAAGGGAAGAAGGAAAAAAGCAACTTAAGAAAATTGGTTTGCTTAATGGTCAGCTGAATACAATTGAGAAAGAAGAGGTGACTGATTTTTCTGCAGAACTGTTAGAATGGCTCTGTTGGAACTGCTGGCCCTCCTTAAAAGAAATGACTGTTACTGGGTGCCTTCTAGCCGGTCTGCTCCTTGACACCAGATTGGCTTTCTTCAGCTCAACACCCTCTGTGGTGTTAGACCAGGCATGTCCAAAGTCCGGCCCGCGGGCCATTTGCGGCCCACGGCCCGGTTTAATCCGGCCCTCGAACAGCCCTCCCTGCTCTATTAAATGCGGCCCTCCCACGGCCCTCCAGCAAGTCCCATGAGAGAGAGAGAGAGAGACAGAGACAGAGGCACTTGCACTTCTGTCTCTCTCTCTCTCTCTCTCTCATGGGACTTGCCCCCTCGCAGGGCTCCTCATTGGCCCTGCGCCCGGGTGCCCCGCCCCCTGGGAGAAGGGCGGACAGGAAGTTCCTTTCCCAGGCTGGCCCCGTCCCAGGCGCACGTGGCTG